TTTCTTGATTAGCCCTTGGGCCATATGAAAGTGCAAAGTTCCAGAAACAAATTACTTTACTAAAATTTGATACAATACAATTTAAAATGGAATTGAGATAAAGTACTATTTAAAATGAAATTGGAACAAAACACGATTTAAAGTGAAATTGGAACAAAACTCCTTTCCTGGACCCTGAGCTAACAACTGTCAGGGGTGTTTGCCCTCCCAGACACAGCTGCCCCCTTCCCCAGCCAGGCGCTCTGCACATGCTCAGGGGAACTCCCGCCCCCGAGACTTACGATGATCTTGAGGAAGTAGTTGGACTTCCACGTGGCTCGGTCTTCCCTGGGCATCGCGGTGTCCCAAGGATCGCGCGGCGGGGCGGCGGTTTAAAGACAGGGGCGTTCTCTGGAGAAGGGAGGAAAAAAAGAAGGGAGAAATCAGGCCCGCCCGGAGTAGGCCGCGAAGCCTGCCGCCCGCGTGGCCTGCAGCGCCCACCTACCTCACGAGGCCTCCGTGGAAGAAAAGGAATAGCGCGAGTCCCGCCGCCGCCTTTTATACCCAGGACGCCGCGACCAATCAGCGGGCGACCTCTGCCCGGCCCCGCCTTTTTTCCCTGCACGGATTGGGCGAGCCGTGGAAGAGGAGGCGGAGAAAGAAAGTTAAAAGAGGAGGAGCGCGGTTAAGGCCCACCCCTCCGGTCTGATAGGCTGGCTGGGACCGTCACTCAAAGAAAGGGTTCTGTGATTTAAATGACTTGGAACTTACGACTTTCATTGTCACTTTCAATGCATGCTAATCGGTCTATATTAAAATTAAATTTCGTTGCTTGCTGCTGATCTGGAGTTCAGCAGCACGGAAAAGTTTAGTTTTGGTTGGAAAAACTTTTTTTTTTCTTTTTCTAGCCCCATAGGGGAACAAGAACCAAGGATGCAAATAAATTTAATAGATAAATAAGAAATAAAACGTTCGAGAGATGAAACACCAGGTTAAGCTAGATGGTGACAGATTCAGCTATGGGTCATCTAGGTCAGTACCAAAGGGGTTTTTTTTCCTCCCAAGAGTCAACTTGGACTTCCTTAGTTTTTCTTTGAAGACATTTTGCTTCTGGTCCAAGAAGCTTCTTTAGTTCTAACTGAATGGTGGGGAGAGTTCACGATTCTTCCGTTAGAACTGAAGAAGCTTCCTGGATGAGAAGCAAAATGTCTTCAAGGGGAAAAAAAAAGGAAGTTCGGTTGCTTTTGGGAACTGAAGCAGCTTCCTGGATATGGGGGCTCCTTCACTGGAAATATTCAAGGAGAGACGGGACAGCCACTGCTCTGAAATGAGACGGGGTCTCCTGCTTGAGCAGGGGGTGGACTAGAAGATCTCCAAGGTCCCTCCCAAATCCTGTTATTCAGGGCAAAAACCAAGGGGATCCTGGCTGAAGGTGCTGCTAATAATGAGAAGTGATCCTTTTCCAGATTTGATTGACTTGGGATCCCTTAAAGTCAACTGCCCACATGGGGCTATTGGAAAGGATAATTTTCCATCCTCTGCCTGCCCCCCACCATCCCAAAATGTGTGTTCCATTTTCATCCCCACACTCAGGCACAAACATGTTGTGGTTTGACGGCAGTCGGTGCAGACAGCAGTGGAATCGGACAGTGGGGAAGAACGGGGACCAGTCTGGGAGTCTGGAGAGGACTCGGACAAGGGTCCTGCATCCGATGCAGAGGTGGGGTCAGGACAATCTGGGAGTTGGGTGCAGACCCAGAGCCTCCAGAATCTGGCAGCAGCAAGGCAGAGGACCCAGGGGAGCCTGTTCCCAGTGTGCGTGTGCGCAGGGCTGCCAGAAGGCGAGAGTGGCTAAGACAAAAGGGGAGACTCGGGAGTAAGGCTGGGAGGGGATTGCCCCTCCCACAAGGGATAAAGGACAGGCCAAGATGATGAAACCTTTGCAGGAAGCAAAGTCGTTCGTTCGATTCAGAGTCATTCTCTTTGCACTTCGGTTGGTTCTTTTTGTACAAGGGTTGGTTTCTTTTCTAGTTCATTTGATACTTCTGTTTTTGGCAGCACTGAAAGGTGTGTGCTTATCTCGGGGATTTTCATCTGCAATAAAATAAGTCTTGGTTTTTAAAATAAGTGTGCGCACAATTACGGTTTAGGAAGCCTGGGTCGGAACAGCACAGGCTAAGCTACAAATGACACCCAAGCCTGTCTCCAAATCTTTATTTAGCATCATCACAATGACTTTTAAGAAGGGCGACAATGCATTGCAAAAAAGGAATACAGAAAATGGGGGGGGGGGGGGGGGGGAGAGAGAAATATAATTCCACAGGAAAACCTCCCCTTCTCTTCCTGAGCAGAATAGCTGAAGTTTTCATCAAGAGCCACTTCATTTTGAGGCACTTAAGAGAGGTTTTTTTTTTCTTTTTTAAAGAGCATCAAGAACAGGAATTTTTTTTCTTTTTTAAACTGCCTATAATGCCAAAGCTACAGTAGCGTAGGATAGTCCACTCCAAAAGATGGGAATTTTTTTTTTAAAAAGCACGGAAAATGAGGGAAAAGGCACATTTTTTTTCTTTTTTGTCCTAAGAGATCAAACCTTTCAATGGGCCTTCTCAGGTTGAAAGCGAAATAAAACAGCTGGGATTTTGAAAGAGCCTTTAGCCCAAATTCAGGCTTTGGAAACAAAAGAAAAAAGGAAAAGGAAAATTCCTGCAGATTTTATTCCACTAGTCGTTGCCGACTTTAGGGGGCGCTGCTCATCCTTGTTTCAAGGCTGTTGAGCCAGCGCTCTCCCTTTAAAGACGTTTCCACGGTCATGTGACCAGTATGCCATCACGGAGCGCTGTTACCTTCCCACCAAAGTGGTACCTATTGATCTACTCGAACTCCCACGCTTTCGAACTGCTAAGTGGGCAGCAACTGAGGTGAGGACGGGAGCTCACCCCGTCACGAACCAGGGTCTCGAATCGGGGCTGCCAGTTTTCTGGCTGACAAAACCCAACGTCTTAACCACCGAGACCACCTTTCAGGCTTTGAAAAACGCCTCCCCCTTAAAAAAAAAAAAAAGGCTCAGAGAGTCCATGAAAAAAATGCGTTGAAGACTCCGATGCATGGAACGGCGCAGGGTACTTCTCCAAACAAGCGACCGATTTTCCGCAAACGGTGGGAGAGAATATCTCCAGTTTGATCCTAAAAGGACACACACACACACACACACACCCTCAAGCAGTCCAAATTTTTTTGCTTCTCTTAGCTTAGTGAGCCAGTGAGGCAAAAGACATGAAAAATTCTAGCCATCAAAGGGTAAAATTGACATGGCAAACCGCTCTCCAACAGCAACGTCTGAAATGGACTGGAACTTAAAAGCAAATATCTTCATACGTGTGCTTTTTAAATGAACTTAAGGCTCTTTTTGAAAATCCAGGATGAAACCGGCGGATGTGTCTTTTTCTCGTCTTTGTTTTTTTTGTTTTTTTACAAAAATCCATTCCAGTTGAACCCTGATCCATAAAAAACTACTCAACAAGCAAAAAGAGAAGAAAAAAAGAAAGACAATATACATACATCTCCTAATAGATTCCACTTCTCCGACACCCCCCCGTTTACAAAAAAGGATTTACATATACATTTATATATAATTAATAGTTGGTTTTAAGAAAGCATCAAGGCTCATAAAGACAGGAACCAACATAGCTTAGGGTCCTGCCCAGAAGAAATCAGATACTTAAAAAAAGCATCCGTTGAAAAATGTTCATAAAAGTAAAATTTCCATATAAGAGATTTTAAAAGCTTTTTTGTTTGTTATGCATTCAAGACCCAGTGTAAAAAAAAACAACAACCCACACACACCACATTCCTTACCCAAACACACAGCATTCAGCTTAATAGCAAAAAGGTTATGTTTTTCTCACAATCGAAACACCCTGGAAGGGGGAGGAAAAGGGCTCAAAGAAGAACCACCAAAGGTTTTATGAAATTGCTACATCGATATAAAAAGTTTTTAAATTATTGCTCTGAAGATCATTTCCGGGGAGAATCTTACACAGGCACACCAGACAGGCTGGAGAAGAATCAAAAAAAGCAAAAAAAAAAAATTGTGGTTTTTACACTTCTCCCATCTCTCGGGTGCAAAACCACAAAAATATAACAGACCTTGACGTGCGACGAGAATTAAACACCAGAATTTCCATCGCTCCAGCAAGACCGCTCTTAAGTGAGCTTGTAGCTAATTTTGCAACCATTTTGCCTTGGTTGTTAAATGAGTCACTCAGTTGTTAAGCAAATCCAGCTCCCCCCCCCCTTGGAAGTTTGCTTGCTGGAAGCTGGCTGGGAAGGTTTGCAAGAGGCGTTCTGGTAAATACAGGTATTCCTCGACTTACATTCCTCGACTTAAAATAACTTCATGTCCACAGAAGACTTGAGGGGGCCGGCACATTGTGCAACAAGATCACCTAGTGTAATAAGAGTGGGAGTGGGTTAGGGACTTCTGTCCACACTGTGAGTTGTGTTTGGGTGTGGGTGTGTGTCGTGCCCTTGTTGGTGTCCGATTCTGAGGGGGAGGTTGAGCAGCTGACAGGGAGTGGGAGTGTGGCTCCAGTGGCTGTGGAAGAAATGGAGGAAGGGCACAGTCCGGCTGGGCATTCAGAGGAAGACTCAGGACCACCCCGTCTACATCCTAGGGCACTCAGGGAGAAACGGAGAAGGGAGCAACATGGCTTACGGGAGAGAAAAAGGCCCTGATCCTTTTCATTAGTTGCAGCTGGGAGAACATGATATAAGTGGGGCATTTTACACAGCCGTTTTGGTGTCCTCTCAAGGATGGGTGCTGAGTTATCTTTTGGAAGTCTGCAACTTATCATCCTGGCCTGCCGTGGTAATTACTTCAGTGTGGTCTATGTTGGGTTTTTTTTTATTTTATTTCTAATTATCTTTACTTTGGGTTCGGACTGCATTTCTTCCCTTCGTAGACTGTTTTTTGGAAGAGTCTGATATCCAGCCAAGGATAACTGGACATTGGGGGCCAAGTTGGAGGCATTAAAGGGAATTTATTCTATTTTTGTGACTTTGTTATTTTTGTGTCACGCCCCAGGTCATCACTCTGTGTGTGTGTGTGAGAGAGAGAGAGTGTGCACGCGCGCGCGCACGAAGGGAGGCTCAGCCAATCTCATTGTTCACACGTTGTGTACAATAAAGGTCATAATAATCCAACCTCCGTAGTCCCTTGGGCCTCTTCTTCCACCTTCCCAGAGCGGCTGTGAACATCTCATTCACACACACGCACACACACACACACACGAATCCTCTTCCTCCTTATCTCCTACATCAACCCACTCGAGTTGCTGGACGCCGTAAGAAACTTGGCGAGGGTTTCCTGGCAGGAGAGATACCACGGAGGGTTGAGGTGAGGGGGTGTGTGTGAGACGTTCAGCAGAAGAGCTTCAGGAAGCAGTTCTGGCAATAAGGCTTGTCGTTCTGCTCTTTGAAGGTCCCCTTGTTGAGCTGCTTGAGGCAGAAGGCACAGACGAAGTGTTCCGGGTGGAATTTCTTGGCCATGGCGGTGATGCAGCGGCCCGTGATAGGCTTCTGGCAGCCGGAGCAGAGCGAGCCGCGGCGTTCGTGGTAATGCACTTCGCAGTAGGGCTGCCCGTCGTGTTCGAAGAAGCTGCCGTTGACGAACGGGGTGAAGCATTCCTGCCCGGGAATAAAACAAACACTGCATCGGGTCCTGGACTTACAAAACCACAATTGCCGCCTTGCGTGAAGATATACAGTTTATATGCTGCTTGGGGAAGAGAATAGAATGGAGGGGGAATCACATAACTCTGGGACATTGTGCCCGTCATAAATACGAGCGAGTTGTCCACCGTCTGAATTTTGATCGTGGGACCGTTGCTGCAACGGTCATTAAGTGTGAAAAACGGCCCTTTTTTCAGTGCCATTGCAATGTTGGACACTAAACGACCTGTTCTAAATGAAGGACTACCTGTATTACTTTAGTCTCTAGTGTTAAAACTGGAGAAAAACGTTTCCTTTCCAAAATGTTGGAAAAGTTGCCATGGAAAAGGAAGTCATCGCGGGGGCCTCTTACCCGGCAGACGAAACACTCGGGATGCCAGAGGGTGTTCAAGGCTGAGATATAGTTCTCCAAGATGGCCCGGGCACACCCGCCACACTTGGGAGCAAACATATCGAAGTAATCTTTGCGGCAATAGGCTTTGCCGTCCTTCTCATGGAAGCCTGGGAGCCAAACAGAACAGAAAGTCGGTTAATCGAGAGCAGAATAGCACTTAAGACTTATATACCGCTTCACAGTGCCACCTTTCCAGCCCTCTCTAAGCGGTCTACAGAGTCAGCCTCTTGCCCCAAACAATCTGGGTCTCCTCATTTTACCGGTCTTGGAAGGACGGAAAGGCTGAGTCAACCTTGAGCTGGTCAGGATCGAACAGCTGGCAGGGGGCAGAGTTAGCCTGCAATACTGCTCTCTAACTACTGCACAGGAAGGAAGGAAGGAAGGAAGGAAGGAAGGAAAGAAGGAAGGAAGGAAAGAAGGAAGGGCAAAGAAGTAGCAGTCGCACTTAGACTTATATACTGATTCACAGTGCTTTTACAGCCCTCTCTGAGCAGTTTACAGAGTCAGCCTCTTGCAAACCCCAACAATTTGGGTCCTCGTTTTACCGACCTCGGAAGGACAGAAAGGCTGAGTCAACCTTGAGCTAGTCAGGATCGAACTTCCTGGCAGTGGGCAGAGTTAGCCTGCAATACTGCTTTCTAACTACTGCACAGGAAGCGAAGGAGAGAGGGAGGGAGGGGAAAAGGAAGAGCAAAGCAAGGGCACTTAGACTTATACACCGCTTCACAGCCTGAGCCAACTTTGCGTTGAATAATATATTGTATGTATAATTTAACATAATAACCCTGGACCAACAATCTAACAGTAAACAGGCCAACAACTCAAAGAACCTGCGAGGCCACTTTGGGCAAAACTGACCGTGGAAGCCATCAGAATATAAACTAAGAAGCAGATTTCTTTCAAGCACTGATGTTGATACCTAGCTGGGTAATGAAATGTCTGCAAGGAAAAAACAACCAAGCTCAGAGAACACCATGGACTCACAATCTTCTTCCTCCTCCTTCTCCACTTCCTCCTCCTCCCCCTTCTGCAAACCTCATTTCCCTTCTAGCGCTGATGATGTTGCCTAGTTGGGTAATGAAATGTCTTCAAGAAAACAATCCAGCTCAGAGAGCTCCAAGGATCCCACAATCTCTTCCTCCTCCTCCCTTTTCTCACAGACGTTTCATGACCCAAACTAGGTAACATCATCAGTGGTAGAAGGGAGTGGGGCAGAGAGGAGGAACTGGGGAAGGAAGAGGAGGAGGAGGAGTGTGGGCTCCTTGGTGCTTTCTGGGCTTGCTTGTGAGAGCGAGCTGAGAGAGCATCGAGGACTCCTCACGGAATTGGTGTATCAAGTCCTAAGACCCAACGTTGAGTTCTTGAGGACAAGTGACAGATCTGGCCCCAAGCTCCATGCAAAAACGTCCAGTGTCCATACCTTCGGGTCCAAAGAACGCTCCACATTGTGCGCAGAAGAAGTGTTCAGGGTGCCATGTTCGGTCCAGGGCCGTCACCACTTTCTGAGAAGAAGAAATCACAAAGGATGAATAAGCCCATCATTCACCAGTCCCCAAATCTTAAAGCTGCCAAGTTTGGAGAGCTCTGCTCTAGAGGAAACGGATTAAGAAAAAAGAAAAAAATGAATGAATAGTAAAGACGTCAGATCTCAGGGACTCACATCCAGGATGGGACCGTTGCAGTAGTAACAGCGGGGCGAAAAGAGGTTGTGATAATCTCTCTCGCAATAGGGCTGGCTGTCCCGCTCAAAGAAATTCCGGGAGCCGATTTCCTCCTGGCAATGGGTGCAAACGAAATGCTCGGGGTGCCACGTTTTCCCCATGGCTGTGACCACCTAGGGTGGGAGAAAAAGAGAAACAACAAAACAAAAAGGCATTAAGAGTTGTTAATCTTATTTTGCAAAGCTTCTCCTCCGGCAACGTTGCATTGTTAACTAGGGCATACAAAATCTTTGCCAGACCAATTCTCGAATACAGCTCATTGGCCTAGAACCCGCACTGTATATCGGGTTTTAATATAATGGAGCGGGTTCAGAGGTATTTCCCGAGAAGAGTACTCCACTCCTCTACTCACAGTAGTATTCCCTACGCCTCCAGGCTTGACATTTTTGGCCTGGACCATCTGGAATTGCGCCGCCTGCGGTCCGATCCAATCATAGTGTCAGGATTCCGGCAGTTACCCTCACTTAAATCGTGAGTCTCCGGCCGAACTCCCAAAACTTCAAAAGGATTTATTGGGAGTTAACACGTCTGGCATTATCTCCTGAAGATAGTCCCAAAGTCACCCAGCCAGCTTTAATGCCTGAGGCGGTGCTAGAACTCACAGACACCTGGTTTCTCATCCAACCCCTTCACCCCAACACCAAACTAGTTCTCAAAAAGGTAAGAGCGGAAATGACTCTCCTTGAGGCTCACCTGCCCGGCGATTGGCTTCTTGCATGCTCCACAGACGCCTTTGGCAACCGTTGCTACTCCAAGTTTGTTGAGGTCAGACTGGAGGCTTCCAAGCATGCTGTCCAACTGGCTGCCCGGCTTTGGTGGGGTGGTGGGCGGATAGCTGCCAGCTCCTTTTCCCTGCGACATAAACTAAAGGAGAGATGAAAACAAGAGAACGGTGAGATACAAAACCACAACGGCGTCCTTCCAACCGTTGGAACGCCAACAAGCTCTTTGGAGTTGCCATTCGCGGGGTTGATGCTTGATGTGACTGCAGAAACTAGCAAAGGGTCACACTTGAGGATGAGTAGAAAGGGCGGTTAGTGTCACAATGGCTTTTTCCAAGAACAGGACCCACACTCTAAAACATTTTGCAAGCACGGACGACATTCAGTACACTTCCACACCACAGGGCCCTCCTCGGCGGTTCTACATGTCCAAACCACAATGCAGCAATTTTGTAAGACCTCGGGGCTAAGGAAAGGAAACCGCATTAAATTTTAGTGTACAAAATTCTAACAAAATTTGGAATATTGTCGTCAAAGCTTGGAATACAGACTCCAGACCACAGTCGAGCCCAAAATTGACGTCGTTCAAGTGAGATCTTTTTCCGACCTCGGAAGGATGGAAGGATGAGTCAATCATGAGCCGGTGAGAATCGAACTGCTGGCAGCCGGCAGAAGTAGCCTGCAATTCTTCATTCTAACCACTGCGCCACCACAGCTCTTCATAGCAATAACACTTAGACTTATAGGCCGCTTCACAGTGCTACATAGACCTCTCTAAGCGGTGTACAGAGTCAGCCTTTTGCACCCCAACAATCTGGGTCCTCATTTTACCCACTTTGGAAGGATGGAAGGCTGAGTCAACCTTGGTCAGGATCGAACTCCTGACTTGTGGGCAGAGTTAGCCCGCGATACTACTTTGTAACTACTGCACAGGAAGGAAGGAAGGAAGGAAGGAAGGAAGGAAGGAAGGAAGGAAGGAAGGAGGGAAGGAAGGAAGGAAGGAAGGAAGGAAGGAAGGAAGGAAGGGCAAAGCAATAGCACTTAAAACTTATATACTGCTTTAGGGTGCTTTACAGACCTCTCCAACAATCTGGGTCCTTATTTTACCAACCTCGGAAGGATGGGAGGCTGTGTCAACCTTGAGCCGGTGAGAATCGAACTGCTGTCAGTCGGCAGAATTAGCCTGCAATGCTGCATTCTCACCACAGTGCCACTTGGTAACTTTTGTAGGCTTAAGAGTAACTTTTGCAGTAATTTAGAATTCACTTCTCACATCTGACTAGCAAATTTAACTGCTTGGCATCGAATTTGAATTTTTATTGGCTCAGTTGCTGAATGGCTGTTGCAGACCCTTTTGCCGTCTTTCTCCCGGCCCAAATTTCTCCGCCTTCTCAAGACCATCATGCCCCAAGGCCTCCAAATTCATGCCAGGTTTCAAAAACGGACCCCCATTTCTTTTTAAGCTTGCAACGAAATGGACCAACGAGCCTTAGGAAAACCCAGCAAAAACCGCATTTCTACCAAACCCCATCCATGCAAGCTATCCACATGTTTGGGTCAAAGACGTTTTGTTTTTTTCTACTCCACATGCTAAAGCAGGAATGCAAGGAAAAGTTCCTGCCTTCTCGGGAGTAGGTGGGAGAGTAGCGAGGAGGTGGTCCAGAGATGGAATAGGAAGGACCTGAAAAGCAGAATCCAGAAATGAGCTAAGCAGGCTGCAACCGTTTGAAAAAAGCTGGCTGGATTGTTGAATTTTAAGAAACTTCTGAATTCCGTGACTCATTGAAAGACACGTGTTTTTTTTTTTAAGGGGAAGGGTGGATTCTGTGGGTAAAAACCTGGAGGAGTCTGGGGTCTGGGGAAGGCTCGGACGAGGGCTCTGCGTCGGAGGCAGAGATGGGGCCAGGGGCTACTTGAAAGTTATCAGCTGCCTTCGGAGTCGGACATCAGTGGGGAAGAAGAGCAGCTGGAGCCTGTTCCCAAGGTGCACATGCACAGAGCAACTTTCCCAGCCTGAGAAAGGTCTGTAGTTGTGAAATCTCATGAAAGACTTTTGGCCGGGACTTTGCTGGACAGGAATTCTCTTTAACCTAAATATAAGGGGTTTTCTCGGGACAAGGAGTCGGCTTCATGATCTTGGGAAGGTCTAGGCCAGAATGTTTGCCCCATTTCGCGACCTTTCTGGCCAGAGTTGGGAAGCTGTTTAGGAAGCAGGAGAACATCAAAGGAGGATCGTGCCTGCTGTGGTGGAGAGAAGGGGGCCTCCTCTGTCTGACAGCTAACCGACACCGAGGCTTTGGAGGAAGGGGCTGGTGCCTGCTGGGGGGAAACTTCTTCCAACAGCATTTCCCACGGGACGGGAGGCTGAGTCGGGTGGGCGGACGGCACGTAGCGCAGCTGAGGGATGTGTGGCGGTGCGGGCGAGGGCAAGGGAGGAGGCGGTGGAGGAGGAGAAGATGGAAGAGAAGAGCCAAGAGTGGCGTTGACTGAGGCAGCCTTGGAGACATCTTTAGGAAGCTGCGGCGGCGGCGAAGGTGGGATAGAGACGGTTCTTCGCAGAGGAAGGGGTGACGTAGCAGGAATAATAACCTGGGGGAAAAAGCAGGGAGAAACATGAAGAGGCCAAAGACACCTTACCCAGAAGGCACCAGAAGAAGATGATCGTGGAGGTCAACCTTCTCCAACCAGGGCACTTCCCAAAGGGCGGAGGTCAACTCCAAATGGACCTATGCACCGTGAAGGAGTCTGAGAGTTGAGGTGTACCCTTTTGGAAGGCAACAGGTTGGAGAAATGTAACAGTATTCAGGGGTCTCCAACCTTGGCCACTTTAAGACTTGTGGACTTCAACTCCCAGAATTCCCTAAGCAGAATGGCTGGCTGAGGAATTCTGGGAGTTGGAAGTCCACAAGAATGAAAGTGGCCAAGGTTGGAGATGCCTGCTTCTACCTCACCTTCCCGAAGAGCACAAACTTTCCCTTGGGACACAATCAAGGGCAAAAAATGGTATAACCACAACTAGAGACCCTTCCAAGTAGAAATGGGTTCTCCTGAATCTTTGTAGGCTTTCATTCGTTGAGTTCCTTCTGCCCTCAACTGGATGGAAGAGCCTTCAAAAACTATCTGATGGTGCTAGGTATTCCACCCCAGGTCTCGCTTGGGGAAAAAAATCTCGGAGGCTTTACAACGTTCTACAAACGTTCAATGTCTAAGGAACTGACCCACGGCCGGCCCCTGTTGGGAATCCCAAATCAACGAGAGGTGAGAACAATCCAGAGAAGTAGGGATTCTGAGACAAACTGTACGGAAATCCAACCAACTAAGCCACTGTGTGAAGTTCAACTGACAGCAACTACCCCATTTCTCTTACTTCCTGGGGATCGACCAGGAAAACAAGCCTTTCTGGGCTCCAGCAGGATATTAAGGCCCAGAAGAAAACAACAATAGGATAACAGAGTTAGAACGGAAGTCTTCTAGTCTAACCTGCTCTCAAGCAGGAAATCCTAAACCATTTCAGATATAAATGGTTGTCCAATCTCTCCTTTAAAAAAAAACCCTCCAGGGACGGAGCAGCCACAACTTCTGGAGGAAACCTGTTCCATTAATTAATTGTTCTCCTTCTCTGGAAATTTCTCCTAGGTTGGTTCTTTCCTGGGTTGGTCTCCATGCATTGCTTCTTGTCCCATCTTCAGGTGCTTTGGAAAATAGGTATATTCTCCAAATATACTTTGGAAAACACGCCCAAAATTGACAAGGGATGGATCTCTCTCTCTTTTTGACATGCAACAAAGAAAACATCACATTTTCTCTCCGTTCAGAAGCAGCCTCGCTACTCTCATCGGATCCCTCTTGCTTTCCAAGGGAAGGACCTCCGCTCTCTGCTCTAATTCCTAATTTTCAGTTAAGAAATGAAGCTTGGTTTCATCTGCTGCAGGCATGACCAAGAAGAGAGAAGATCCATCTGCCATCGGCTGTCAGGATTCCGGCGACCGCCCTAATTAAACCATAAGCTTCAAAAAAACTTCAAAAGATTTATTAGGAGCAACGTGACCTGCATGAAGGCGAGGCGTGGGAATGTTTTGCAAGTTGACATCGGCCATGGATATGTTCTCTCTGGAAGGAACCAGAGATGTTCTGGAACCAGCACTCCAAAACTACCTTCCTCCTATCAGCTGGAGGACTCCCTTTCAGAGCTCCTGGCTACCTTTTCTATTTGTTGACTACCATCTCTGTTCTTCTTCTGAGGCCTGGAGGTGATGATGACCCCCTCGGTCAACCAGTCATCAGGGCTCTGTCGATTTTCTTCTTCTTCGACTCGGCTGATGCCCAGCCGGTCTTGGAGCTCTTCAATCAGGCGGTCTTGGGAGATGGTTTTATGGAAGAGGACTGGGCCCAGCTTGCGCCTTGGTGACAGATCGCGGCACATGGGATGCACGTTGGAGGTCTCTCTGGTTTTCCTGATCACGGATTTGATCTTTAAAGGGAGGGGAGGAAAATGTTCAGGTTGAGTAAGCTTCTCCCCCACCCCTGGAACTGGATGGCACAAAGCACACGGTCTTTGACGTTGACTGGGGTTAGTGGTCATAAGCCGAGGAAAGCAGAAATGACTCCTTCCTCAACTGGAGGGAAAGTCCTTTCAGACACAGCCAGAAGTAGGCAATCCATCATTAGGGAAAGCTGTCCAACTGCAGCCACATGCAGCACTGGTGTTGTTAACTAGTTTGGTAGTGAAACGTCTGCAAGCTCACAGAGCACCAAGGACCCAACAATCCTCCTTCTCCTCTGCCTCCTCTTTCCCTTTCCTTCTCCTCTTTTCTGCAACCCCCCATTCCCTTCTAGCACTGACGATGTTACCTAGTTTGGTAATGAAACATCTGCAAGAAAAACAGCAAACTCAGAGGGCACCAAGGACCCTATCATTTCAACCCTGATCAACAAATATTCTCCTTGATGAAACATGAACATTCAACTCCTTTCAGCCCTACCTGTATCTTAAAGGGGTTGAAGTTGAAAAACCCTGGTGTGAAGAAGGGGATTCCTAATCTGGAAGTGAGCCCAATCCTTATCGTCGAAGATTGCCCCATTTCTCCCCACCAAGAGCACCCCACTTCCTCAACTCAGCAGAGCGCCCAGTGGAAACCCCAAAACACATTAAGAGCAACGCTTTTTGCCAAATCGCCCTCCTACACCACAGGCGGGTGGCATCTATCTAGGACAGGGGTCGGCAACCTGAGGCTTTAGAGCCGCATGGGGCTCTTTCACCCTTCTGTTGCGGCTCCCTGTCACCAAGTCAGCTCCTGTCATGCCCCCGTCAGAGTCTGAATCCGAGGATGAAGACGAACAGCTGACAGGGAGAGGGAGTGTGGTTCCGTTAGCTGTGGAGGAAACTGGGGAAGGGCAAAGTCTAGCTGGGCAGAGCAGGGGAGAGGTAGAACAAGGGAGAGGAAGTTTGAAGGAAAACCCAGGCCCATCCCCTCTTCATCCTAGGTTATGCAGGGAGGAATAGAGAAGAGAGCAATGTGGATTAGGTGGCTTATGGGGGAGGAAAGGGACCCGATTCCCTTCATTAGCCACACCTGAGAAGAGAGTTTAAAAGAGCTGAGTGTGGCATCTGCTAGGAACACACGTGAGTTTATCTTGTGTTCACTTTAGTTATCTCTGTTCCTGGCATCTTCCCAACCATGTTGAGTTACTACCATTCCTTCACATCTGGAATTCCTTCTCCTGCCCTGCCGGACTAATTACCTCATCTTGCTTGATTGGACTTATAGTTACAGTTTTTGTTGACCATGTTTTGGACTTGGCTGTTCCTGGGAGAGTTTTTTCTCCAACCCAGCAGGTAACCTGGACATTGGGAGCCAAGTTGGAGCTAATAAAGAGAAGGCTACTGATTATCTGACTGTGTTGCCTTTGTGCCACACCCCTTTGGGTCATCACAGCTCCACAACTGGTAGGGCTTTCAGTTAGGACAGGTAGAGGAAAAAGGCCACCGCGCTAGGAGGAGACTCTATGGTGAGGAGAACCGGACTTCCGGTT